CGTAGTAATTCATTTTCACCGAAATTATACCTTTCAGGCCTCAACCGAGTTTCCAAAATCTCTACTCTATACTTTTTATATTTTTCAGGGATTTTCTGGAATTTTTCTCAAATTTTCCCGTTTTGCTCTTCCTAAACCGATAATTACAAACATGCCAGCCCGGACCTTTTCGGGGTTTCATATCAAAAGTTGTTTCATCTCCCTGTCTAGTTCCTATATTGACCCTCATCCCAGCTTTTGATCTTTTATTGCCAAATGAAAATTTTGGGACATGACAAGTAGGGGTATTTTAGAAAAGATAATACCTATTTATTATAAATAACCAACTTAATTAATTTTTTTAATCCACTCAAATTAGTCAACTAGTTCTTATAGTAAGGACAAAAAATATTATATCTCAATATGCAATTATGTGGGGTAAAATAGGAATATTGCTCTCTTGCAGGGTGGCCAAAAAGAAGAAATAAAAAAATATACAAAATGAATCATCCCAACACTCAAACGGAAATTCTATTATCATAAACTCTGGTCTAGCTACTTATGGAGGCTTTTACTAAGCATATAATCATTAGCAATGTGAGGAACAATAACTAGCAATCTCGACGAGAATCATATTGATTTCATAATTAGAAACTTACGTACTCAATGTAATTATTTGAACATATTTGTAAATTTTAGGTTGCAAGTTGATCACAAATACTTGTGACCATTTCACAGATGCATCTTTCACTCATAGGGTATTAATTTGGTTCACATGTGTCTAAATGGTCCCATATATAAACTTGATATATTATAAATCTGCACGGATTCAATTTTGAGCATAACTAGTGATGTTCTCTTATCTAGTTCTTTTGAGAACAAACAATGCATAAAAATTCTTGAATCATATACCATTTTTAAAGAATCTTTTGGTTCTTTAATAAATGCCAATGCATGTTTTTCATGATATTTTGCATCATTATGATCTGGGATGATCTGACCAGTCATGCCAAACTATAAATACATAAACTTCTAGTTTATTGTAAAATTATTCTCAATTATTGGTAAACTTCTTGTTTTCATGTCATATTATTCATTTTTCATCTTAATATTTCACAAGGAATATGATATCAATTATGAATTTTATCTTCGGGATAATAAATCATGATATAGCTCTTTTAGAGCCTTATTTTTCATCTTTTACCCAATGATAGAAACTTGTGCACTTATAAAAGGTCGTGTGCCACTGACTATTCTAGAGCCTTTTTCAAAAGGAATATGAGATATAAGAAATGACATGAATATTAATGATAACAGATTCCATCCAACATGATTCACACTTGTATTCTAACAATCTCCCCCTTAAGGGTGAGTCATATAAACATACTTTTCTTATTTATATATTTCAAAAAGAGTAAATAGCATATAGTAAGTTAAAAAGATATTTTTAACTTAAAAATCTGAGTGTTTCTTGATTTAGATATAGTCATAGATTTTAACCCAATTGAGCTATCGCTTTAAGACCCTTTGATGAACAAATGTTCTGATATATATATATATATTTGTGGGTCATAATTTTCATTATTAATTCCTTTTCTGCCCACAAAGAATGGGGGGAACTATATTATATTCAAAAGCTATATCAATTTTGTTACTAGTTCTTCAAGAACTATATAAACCTTTTATTATTAGTTCTTCTGGAATTATATCAATTTTTTGATTGCATATAGTTGTTCAGGAACTAACATATATTGTTATTTCATTATATGATATACTTCACCTCTTGTTATACTTTTTTAAAATATGAAGTATTTTTTGTTCACAACATATATATTTCTCAATATTTCATTATTCAAAAACATTACTTTTTTTTGTATGTATTTTGTAACACTTCAATTCTTATTCATAAATTTTTAAATCCAACAGAAATTTGAAAAGATCTATAAGGATTGAAATCAAACTACATACTTATGAGGATTAATCATAAGCCTTCAAAGCTATTTATAAGTCATTAGTCTCCAAGACTCTATATAATAAATATATTTTTCAAAGATCATTTATGTCACTCTTTGAACCATAAGCCTTCAGGGCTTTAAAAATGTCATAAGTTATTCTTTTCATGTCATTCAATAACATGAGTGTAATGGCTATTGGCCATTTAGTAATAGAAAATTACAACAATAATGGATATCAAATTGAATACCAAGAATATATGAGAATAAGATAAGAATAAAATTTAAACTTTTAAATTAATTAAATGTAAAATATTAAATGTAACATGAAATAAGGAGAAAAGGTAAACTCTAGTATCAACACATCATTCACTATATAGTTATTAGTTTCATGGACTACATTATTTATAATTCTAATTGTTATAATTTTTCTTTTATAAACAAACCATATAATGATCCTCTTTAGAATCAAAACTATATGGCTTCAGGCTGTTTAATTAAAAAAAAAAAAAGATACATGGCATCTAGCCATTTAATTTCAAAATAAAAAAATTAAAAATATATGGCTTCTGGCCATAAGATAGAAATTCAAAGTTATATGGTTTCTAGCCATTTAATAAAATAATAAAAAATTAAATTAAATATATATGATTTCTGGTCATAAGATAAAGACCAAAGCTATATGGCTGCAAGCCATTTAATAAGATATAGAAAAATTAAATATATATATCGCTTCTAGTCATAAAATAGAAAATCCAAATTATATGGCCTCTAGCCATTTAATAAGATAACAAAAAATTAAATATATATGGCTTTTGGGCATAAGATAGAAAACCAAAGTTATATAACTATTAGCTATTTAATAAAATAAAAAAATTAAATATATATGGCTTCTAGCCGTAAAATAAAAAATCTAAATTATATGGATTCTAAAAATTTAATAAGATAAAAAAAATCAAATATATATGGTTTATAGCCGTAAGTTGAAAAATGATATTCAAATGACTTCTAGTTATTTAATAAGATAAACTAGCATATACATATGGCTTCAAGCCATTTAATAAAATAGAGAATTAAATATATATATATATATATATATGGCTTCTAGTCATAAGATAAAAAGTCAAAGTTGTATAGCTTCTGATCATAATATAGAAAATCAAAACCATATGGCTTGTAGCTATTTAATTTGAAAAGAATGGAAAATTAGAGTTATATGGCTTCTAGCTGTTTAATCTCAATAAGATGACAAATTAGAATTATTATGACTTCTAGCCATTTAACTTTAGACGGTAACTCTTTAAGGATACTGCTAGTATTAATTGGAACTTCGGGTTCGATCAAAATAGTGACATCAGGTCAATGAGGAATAGAGGGGGGAAAATTCCTCTCATCATAATTAGTTCGGAAGGCATAATATCTATATCAAAATTAAATTGTAGCGCTAAAATGTAAAGCAAAATCTCCAATCTTAGTCATGGAACCTGATGTATAAAACAATAGTAAAAGATCTTTTTAATTCCATATAATGTCTCAGATTATCCTAAAAGATCGATTACAGATACAAATACTTTGAAACACCATATAAACAATGTTTGAGATATTTTCATTTGAATAGAGCAAACGAGGTATATCATACATATCTTGGTTAGAGCTTCGTACTGATAAGGTGTTATAAGTAAAGAATAATAAAGAAGAAGAGAGGATCAACAAGGGAGAGTATTTCTCATTCCATTCAATGGTACTCAATACACTATATATAGCCTCTATTTATAGGCACAGCTTTACATCTTTGATAGAATCTGCAAATTATATAATAATAGGAGATAATTGTGGGATATAGAGATAATAGAAGATATTGAAGATTATGGGAGATATAGGAGATAATAGGAGATATATAAACATCCACAAAAATATTATTATATTTATAAGAAATAGTAAAAAAAATTAAACATGTGCATAGAACACATTATTCACACACACACACCATTCATTCTTATTTTTTTTTCTTCTGCAAATGAAACTGTAAATGTCAAGCAAGTAATAAATACACGGACTTGTTTTTCTTTTGTTAATAACAACAAAGTCAATCTTGAGTTTGGAGCCTCTCTTTTGTAATGCCCCAACTTTTCAAATATTTCTTATGTTTCTATTTATAATTGGATTTTATATAAAATGAGTAACATTTTGATATCTTATGATGATGAAATGATGCAATTTTAATTTTGTTTTATAATTTTTCAAAAAAAAGATTCATAATTCTAAAGTATTTTTCTTTTAAAAAATCATTAAAAATTGAGAAAAATGCATCATTCATTGACTTAAGGTATCAAAATGTTACTCAATTTATGTAGAATCTAATAAATCATTCATTGACTTAAGGTATCAAAATGTTACTCAATTTATGTAGAATCTAATAACAAAAAAATATTTAGAAGGTTGGAGCATTACAAAAGGTGTTAAAGAGACAGCCACATCATCGGCCCCAACCCCATCGTTCGTCCATCAGTCAACACGGATTTGACAATCTAAACACATTAACGAGATATAGACTTAAAAAGAGTTGCATATTTCTTATATTAACATATAAAACACTTCCCTGAGTCATACGGAACGTATTGGAAACGGTGCAAAGGGCAAAGGCCATGACATGAATGATCCAAAGATCCATAACACTAATTACGGGACGTGTTGATCGGAATAATTAATGCAAAAATAACTAAAGTTAACTCATACTTGAAGTTTTTCCCTCACAAGTACGTTGTGGAATTACATTATAAATACCTCATCGCTGGTTTCACTTCCATGCAAGCTCTAGCTTATTGGAAGCCAAGTTTCATTTCTCAGTGTCTGAAACAACAAAACAAGCTGGCTAGCATGGCTTTCTATATTTCTAAAACCTCGTTCCTTCATTTCTTGATCTTGAACTTGATTCTGATATGTCTCTCTTCAGGATTTATCCCTTCAGAGGGAGAAGAAGAATATGAAACATTCCAACAATGGATGAAGCAGCATGCAAGAATGTACCCGAACTCTGAAGAGAGTGAAAGCAGGTAGCAAATATTTCGAATGAATCTGAACCATATCAAAGAGACGAATGCCAAGAGATCCAATTCCTCTCGGGGTGGCTATCGTTTGGGACTCAACAAGTTTGTTGATATGAGTCCTAAGGAGTTCAAGAGAGTGTACCTCCGCCAACTACCTGCGCCAACCACCAGCAACCCGGCCACCACTGCCTCGAGGTCCGGCTACGTGAAACAGGACTCCTGCACACCACCTGCTTCTGTGGATTGGAGACAGAAAGGAGCTGTGACTCCAGTTAAAGACCAGCAAAGTTGTGGTATAGACTTAATGAAACCCTATTTTAAGAAATATATCAATTTTTCTTTTGGATGTCTCTAAAGGTTCCATGAGTGATGTTTTATGGTTCATAGGAAGTTGCTGGGCATTTGGAAGCATTGGAGCCATTGAAGCAATACACGCAATAAAGACAGGGGAACTTATTTCCCTTTCAGAACAAGAACTTGTAGATTGTTACTCCGTAAGCCGTGGTTGTTCAGGTGGGTTCCCCAAGAGTGCTTTCGAGTGGGTTATCAGAAATGGTGGCATTAGTAAAGAAGAAGAGTACCCTTATGTAGCTCGAGACGATTCCTGCAAAGCCAACTTCATCTCTCTCTCTCTCTATATATATATATATATATATTTGCTAGCAATCTTGTTTGAGACACTATTGGGTATTAAATATAGATACCTTATGAAGAACTCGCTCCTTTGGCTAGACTCAACTCCAGCTCTCTCTCTCTTTATGTATATATGTATATCACACACCATAGCTTCTCTATCTAATTTGAGGATTTCAAAACGTTTCTGAAGCAAAATGGAGATAGTGGCGTGAAAATTACTAATTATGCACAAGTAGATCAATCGGAAGACGCCCTCTTGTGTGCTGCGGCTCAGCAGCCTATTACAGTATCTTTGGATGCATCAAATCTTCAATTCTATGACAACGTAAGTATTTTCTCTGTCTTCATTCAATCTTCAATATTTTTTTGTCTATTTAATCATTTTATTGAATTAATATTAATTATTGAGTGTTCTAATATATATATAAATAACCAATCTTTCTTTTAGTTCGCGAGAATTTATGTATTTAGTTTAAACTTTCATATGAAGCGCACCAAGCTATACATAACCTCTGAATTTGGGACCACGTACAGATAATATCTACGACCTTTGAAACTTCACAATAAGCCCTCCTAAACTTTTACATTTATGTATACGACTCACATACGATAAATTCTGCACATTACTTATCCACACCTACAACCTAAAGTTTAGAGGGATTATCTACACATTAACCAAAGTTTGAGAGGTTATATATGCACACAAAAATAAGGTTTATTATGGGGATCTTTGTAATTGATAGTTGGAGGTAATCTACATAGACTTAAAAGTTCAAGAGAGTTCTTGTATAGTTTAGCCTTTTTAATTTTACTCTAATAACATTTAATTTTTTTGTATAGTTTAGCATTTTTAATTTGACGTTAATGACATTTATTTTGAATTTTCAGGGGATTTATGATGCCCAGTATTGCTCAAGGGATTCAAACAATGTGAATCATGCTGTTTTAATTTTGGGATATGGTTCAAAAGGTGGAGATGACTATTGGACTGTGAAGAACTCATGGGGAGAAAATTGAGGAATAAATGGATACTTCCATGTTAAGAGGAATACAGATTTTCCAAATGGAGTGTGCGCCATTGATACCATGGCTTGTTACCCAACCATATAAGATTAATGTACCAGCTAGCTGGCAAAGTTTTGGTCAATTTCTCGTTTTCTTGTTGTCATGAACTCAAATCTATTATAAATTCTAAATAAAAAGTCATGAATTATTAATTAAAGTAAATTATTAATTTGTCCTTTTTGGATATATTGTTATAGTTGTTCATGGAATACTAAACGACATCATAAAAAACTTTTTCAATCATTCTTGTGATACGGCCAATAGTTTTGATATGTCAAAATTGTTAAAATAACTTATTTATCATTTTGAAATTCAACAGCTGTTTTTAATCATTCTTCCTATTTAAAAAAAAGCTCATGTGCCTACAGAAATAACGTTAAGAGTACAATATGGTATAAACAGTGTATCTCAATATACAATTGTGCGGTAAAATAGGAATAGTTCTCTCTTGTAGGGTGGCCAAGAAGAAGAAATAAAAGCATTATGCTAGCTATAACGACCGCCGAAATAAAACCATATGGACTTAATAATAATGTCTTCATGATGTTATAAATTGAAGTTATTTTTTTCCATTTCTCAGATAATAAGTCTCTAATATGTTTCACCATAATTAAAAAAATCTTAATTTCATTAACTTTATTATAAAATTTAATAATTTGTCAACTCTACACCTATTTAATATAGACTTTATACTAATACTCTAAGTCTTTAATAGCTTGTTCTCTCATGAATAATAAATGAAAGACACAGTTGTATATTCATATAAACGAATTTAATAATGTAACTTATAAATAAAATAAAAACACACATTTTTTACCTTATGAATATAACTAAAGAGCCTACATTTATACCAACGAATTTATCAGACACTTAAACCCCAGAAGTCTTCTCCAATTAACGGTCTTGGGAGAGGACGTTGTAATTTGAATATTAATTTCAAATTTACACCGGGCAATAATAGTGGCGGGTGTTATGTGGAAGAAGACAAATTTCTTTCATTGATTCGTTTATAAAGAATTTCATATTGTTTTAATTTATTTACCAGCCATGAACTACAATTATTATTATTTTTTGCCAGCCATTAACTCCAATTGAATTGTTCTTTACCTCCTTTATTTCATTATATTTGTTTTTGACGAAAAAATTGTTTTATATTACAGGTTTTCTCCTAATTCTAAAACAACATATAAGATCATTTTTCTTGTTTTACCAGTGGAGTAGAATAATGTTATTAGAAGTATTAAAGCAATGTTAGCAATAAATGAGGGGCAAATTTGGCAAAATATATCATATTTTTGCATGGAAAAAAATTGATCTATAAGAATATAGATTCATATAGTTTATCTCAATTCTAAATTAGATCCTTATAATTTATTTTGTTTAAAATTGTCCAATGTGATTTGGTCCGTTATAGCCTTATAGGCATCCATGCATCCTCAAATGTAAAACCTATTAATTTTAATTTATAGAATTTCACGGGATGCATGAATTTTTTTTCCATATTTATTTCACACCATTTTTATCTCATGCATCTTTATAAATGAAATTCCATAAAACTTACAAGTTAAAATTAACAGATTATAGAATAAGGACTAAATTCAAACAAAATAAAATAAACGAGCCTAATTCAAAATTGAGTTAGCCTAGAACAATTTACGGATTAATTTTCCCTTTTATATATTTATTGCCTTTCTTAATTTGTGCGCAATAATCTAAAAGTGTTTATGTAATAAAACTCAGGGAGTGTCAAATTAGTCTACCATTATGTACCTATTTGCTCTTCTGATTTTATTTATAGAGTAGATGGAGAAATTTTTTTTTTGATTCTGTTTATAAGTTACTTTGTTAAATTTTTAGTAAACATGTATAGCTACATAGTTAAATTTTTTCTGAAAAGTGTATATATTAAATGTGGATAAAATTTTAAAGTTGTTACATTTTAATGAAGAGTTAATGTAATTTAAGGTTTTTCTCAGTTTGTTATGTTTTTATAAATGGACCAGATGAGCATAAATCACATATATTTCAAGCTCGCAATAAATACGTTTTGTACTTTCTTTGACCTATTTGCTTTATTTCTCTCTATATCTATTAAGTCAACTGGGTAAAAAAAAAACTTATTAATTATGAACAAACTTTTTTCGTACAAGTGATTCACACACACACACACATATATATATCAACATTTTATGACAAAAAAATTCATAGGGAAGTCACGCTTATAAAAGGCCTTAAACGATTACTTTCTTTCGTAAGTTGAAATTTCAAGACTGATATTATTTTATCGTAATCAATTTTTTCGAAGTTAAAAATAAATTTTGAAAAGGTCAGCTATAGTGACATCAAATAAATCATCACAAAACAGCAAATAATTTAAGGCTTTTTATTTAAAGTTGATGATGGAGACTTGCTGAGTTCATAGTAAATCATCACACAACAGCAAAAAATTAAGAAGTGCATCACGTAACAAATTGACAATGGGACGGACTACGTAACAAGTGTACTAGTCTATATGTTTGGGACATAAGCCCAAGCATTGAGATCGCAAACTCCATGTGGTAAGTTTGTGTTCCTTTTAATAAAGAAGTGTCCGTTCATTCCCCAATTCTCTCCCCATGAGTTCTTCGCAATCCAATAATCTGTGCCATCTTTTGAATCATATCCAACAATCAAAACGACATGAGTCACACCGGTTGAATCCTCAGGGCAATTCTCACCACCATAAACTCCCTAGTCAAGTGAACAAACAAGTTAGAAGTAACAAGGGGAAACTGAAGGTTGACGTATGATTCTTACAAATTACACGGCTTCAAATCCTGAAAACAGCCTCTCCCTTGCAGGGGGTAAAGTTGTTGTATTTTTTATTTTATCATCAACACGTTACCCATTCTTGACGTAGAAGAACGTGTTCCACATCCGTAATTGGTGCAATGTTAATAATCTTAAGTAAGCCCGTTTTGGGTGAATACGTTTAGTTTAGATTTTGACATGTTTTAACAATTTTCGTTGCATCAAAAAACCTGTCTTGTTCTATGTTACGGAAGTCGCGGAGGCCTCAATTAAAGAAGCTAAGGTACCGTGATTGTTTCTTTATGATGATTGAATCATCATTTTGACAAGATTCAAACTTGTAACCTTGTGACAGTCAAGTAAATTGGCAGTGCGTGGGACGCGGAGAAACCCAAGAGAGGGGATAAACATGATAACGACTCTAGTAATGAATTTAAGATGGAAAAATACTAGGGTTCAAGTGACAAAAATATCCCAAGGTCAAAAAAAGTGACAAAAATATCCATAATGTATTTTACAAGGAGTCGCTTTTTTTTTTTCCCCGTCCAAACTAGCAGTATATTCTTTTGTTCTTATTTTCCTCTCCATTTCCCTCCACTTCCCATTCCAATCATAAGATAGCAATTTAAACAGTCCAGATTTCATATTTTATGAAATTCGAAATAAAATATTAATTTTTTCAAAAACATAAATAAATGAAGTTAAACTACTAAATTTAACAATGATAATTTAAAACAACAATAAAAAATATATATTATAATATATAATCTGGACCATTCAAATTGTAATCTTAACAATTAGGATAAAAAGTGAAAGAAAATGGAGGGGGAAAGGAAAAGCTGAGCAATCAGTTATTCAGTTTGATTAGGTCCACTAACAGAAAATAATAACTGAGATGTACATATTTTAAACAATGAACCGAAACCAAATATTAGTTGATAACTGAACTGAATTAACGGAAATAATTTGGTTCGGTTATTCAGTTTACTCATTTTTTTTGCCTGTTCTATTGCAATAAATTTTTCTACTTATTTATTATATAAAGAGCCTAAATTTAAAATATTACTGGGGTTATATTGAAGATGCCATAGCAGCTCAACTAATACTGGGCGTCTCTATTGCTCAATAAAACGACAACACAAACGGTAAATATTCTTAGATATAAAAATCCAAGGATTCCATGTGCAGCTTTATTATTTAAATCCTGGAACCAAATCATATATATATATATATAGGTATGTATAGATATTCAAAGCCAGATGTCTCATAGATTTAAGGAGAAATCAATGTTGGGCTAGACTGCCAACTCTAAATATCAAGGATTCGGAACTTTTGCCTATTTTTTAGAGTTGATTGATATTTTCGTAAAAAATTAAGGATGCCAGCGACTCCTCCTAGAGTACTTTTCTGTCACTTTAGACTCAATATTTTATATTTTTATAAATCTACTATTAGACTCATCATAATCATGTTCTTGGGCTTCTCCGCGTCCCACACGCATTGCCAGATTGGATTGAACTGTTGATTTCATTCTCAGAGAGTTCTAAGCAATGATAGTGGCGTGTGTAACGTTGAAGAAGACAAAGATTTCTTTGGTCAGTTTATAGGAAATTTCATCCCACAAATACATACCTCAGGTCCTTAATATAATAGCTAATTAACTAAATTGAGTAGATTAAGAAAATTAATTAAGTTAGTTATTTGTAACAAACATGATTGGCTACTCATGAATAGAATCCCTTCATAAGTATAATTAACAAATTTGGGGCAACAAAATAAATTGATGTCTTATATTTAGAATCAAATGCAATTCCCAACTAATTCTTGTATTAAAGACAGGAGGTAATTTTTGTCGTTTAGTTATAATAAGAACCCAGGAGTATCAAGGATGCCGTAAGGAGGACACGAGAAAAACAGCGTTGATCGGATCATCATAATGGCCAGTAATATTGAAACAATCACGGCGCTGAGATACACACACACACATATGTATGTGCTTCATATATAAAAGTCGTCCCCCCCCCCCCCCCATGTCTCGTCTCTTTAATTGAGGCGTCCGCGACTTGCGTAACATGAAACAAGCCACAGAATTTTTCATCAGTTTATCTGTAACAATTAACTAAAAACTGTTTGCCTTTTCATTCGACGAAAATTGTTAAAAC